TTGAAGTGGCGAAATCGGTATGGGTATTTGCACAATCTTTACGATCGTGAGCCAATGGAAGGAGTGCAAATGTAAAAAAAAATCCAATAGTTGAAAGATCGGTCAATTCAACAAATTTTTAGGTTGGGGGGGGCAGGGGCTGCGCGTGCGACTCCAGCAGGGGAAGAGGGGATGGATACATGGCCACCACTGCACCACCATTGCAGCAGTATCAGTGGGGGTGGGGGGTCCCGCACCTAGTTATATCGCTAACAAGGTGGTGCCGAAGATAGAAACAAACAACACACGATTGCGATGGAAACGTGTAATAAAACGAAGGGAATGATGCTCCTCCTCCTGCAATGTCCTAACCCTAACCTCCTCCTCCTCTTCGGTGTGGAGATTCGCACGCCTCTCTCTCTGTTTTCGACTCCTGTGTTCTTCGCTCCCTCCCTGCCCCTTTCTCGTGCTGCCCGCTCCGAGGCCCTGCCCGGGCTACACTTCGACACCACTGTAGTAGCGTAGGGTCGCGTTCACACCGTGCGGTGAGAGACCGGGCCGTGTGAACGCGCCTGCCGGTCGTGAACTTGTGGGGGTCAATGTACGAAACTTTCTAGTCTCATTCGGGAAAGAACATCGCCCTCCTCAATAATGAAAAAAGATATTTATAATAAATGGCAACGTGATCAAAGGAAGTGAGAGTCAGCGTATTTCGGACAATAACCAATTGCCTATCATGAACGTGGAGGATAGGTTTTATTATTTTGTGATCATCTGTAGGAAAATTAATTCGAACCGATGACTACTGGTGGAAGCCATTATTTCACACGTAATAAATAAATATTGTGATGGAAATATTCGTATTTGGATTCCATTCATTATTTTAATGAAATGTGGAAGATAAAATACCTTCCTATAATCAAGTATCGGGTGTGTTGAATTGGTTGTACTAAGAATGGATCTCATTATTAACATCTATAAAATGATTCGAAGGACATTACATTCCATTAATCTACATGTGACGCGAAAAAGCTCTACTTTTTTTTTTTTATTTACGTTGCCATTTATTTATTTATTTACAAATTTCTGTTTGTAGTCATGATGGGGTTTCAAAAAAGTTATTGGTTCCCTTTGCTTGGTAGGATAGGTTGCCAATGTACTAAACCATGCTTAAAAGGCCATTTTTTTTCTACTTTTTTATATCCCCTTCTTCCTCGAGACAAACAGAAAAAGAAAAACGAAAAAAGATGCAGAAACTTGACTTGATAGGTTTATATGTATATATATATATATATATATATATAATGTCAAGCCAAATGGTGAACCATCCAAAGTGAATCGACCTTGAGATTTGGACAAAGCCACTACCATTTTCTCTGAGTACACAACCCTAAAATCATGGGAGCAATTTTTAAATGCTTACTGCCAACCTCTAGAAAGCCAAAATGGTGCCCAGCATCTCTTGGGGTACTGATTTTTAGCGCAAAGCATGTAGACGCATGACAGTGTTAAGAAGAGAAATATAAAATAAAATAATAATAAAACAATTCAATAGCATGCCAGAGTTGAAGACAAGGGGAGGGGGAGCCTGGCCTGCGTTGAATTCCAACCTTCGTATATGAGGTACCCATTCAGCAATATTCCGTGGTGTTGTATGTTTTGGACCGTAGCCCTACGCCGGGCCGGACCGGGCGGGGGGGGGGGGTTCGCTTTTCTCTAAGGGGCAAGTAGCAAGTCGGAGCCCCCAAGGCCAGAGGGGCGAAGGGAATGGAAGCCCAGCCCACACACAGAGGTTCTCGCAACCAACGCTGTCCCTCGCCTGCTTGCCTGCGAAAAGTCCTTCGCAATACGTTTCCTTACATGTGTTGCGGCAATTACGTGCTGGTCCTCGTGGGCTGTTACACAACTCAGTGAGTGTCCTCCTCTTTCCTCCTCCTCCTCCTCGGTATTGCATCTTCCTCGCAGAATCTAGTATATTGATCTCTCTCTTGGGATCCCTACCCCCACCACTTAGCGCTGCCTGGCGGGAGATAGGGACCGAGTGACCACGGGGACAAGAAACCTTAGAGTCGTGCAAAGCGTACTAGTACACGAGCGGATTGTGTAAGTATCACTGTGTGCGAGGATTTTTCCTTGGAACGTCTGTGAGTGCGTTTGCTTGGCTGGTTTGCGACGATTGGAGTAATGACCGAGAGGAGAGTTTGATTTTTCGTGGTGATTGAATTGGTCGTGAGCAGCGTGTAGTTGTCTGAGTGCTTGTGCGGAGAGACGAAGACTTTTCTGGCTGTGATTTTGTTTAGCAACTCGTTCTGTCCACGTGCGGTGCGCTTTGGATCTCGCCGTGGGTGGATTGTTTGGTTGCTGCTTGAACGGTGGGTGTGAAGAGTGGGAACGAACAATGGAGCGGATTTGCTAGGATGCAGGAGCGTTTTGCAGGTAGCAGGAGAAGGTTTGCTTCAACAGGATAGGTGATTCACTCGATATGTTCTACCCAAGCATGAGAAAAACTTAGCTGAATTGCATGTTTTTTTCGGTGGATGCGTCTTCCAAAAAATAAATAAAAACCAACCGATGGGTTTATCTTGTGTCGGCAGTATTCAGGGAGTCGAGGGTTTCGATTATGGTGCTTAGAGTCAGTATTAGAGATCGTGTGAAATGAATTGAGTTTCGAGGTGGTAGCTATGCAGAGTGCCCTTGGTTCTTCAGCAATCTCTTTCATTTTTCCTGGTAGATGAACCACCGACCATGGACGTGGTGCTTTCTGTGTGATTATATCTACGGTCTACACGTTCGCCTCTTAAAGAAACTTACGTTAGATTACACACACACACACATCCATGTTCACATATACATATACACATTCGAAACTCCTCTTTAATAGTGCGTGTTATGTCAGCTAAATCAGAGATGAGCTTCTTTTTCCTGTCTGGAACTTTACACGCACTTCCGACGCGAGAGATGAATCAGTGGTTTAGTAAGGGATGCTGATGTATTCTAGTGTCGATTAAACGTTCTGTCTTAAGGCATTGCAGTAACTCATCGTAGTTTGGATCACGCAGACTCGATTAATGGTATTCCTGTGAGTGAAAGAACTCACGAAGCTCGTGCAATTTTTAAAAAGATCTAAGCAAGGTAGTAGTCAAGGAGCTGGAGATCAATCATGATGAATTCGAATAGTCTTCGCCTGAAGGTCGGAAAGTACGAGCTCGGGAAAACTCTTGGGGAGGGCACTTTTGCCAAAGTCAAGATTGCAAAAAACTTGGAAACTGGCGCAAGTGTTGCCATCAAAATTCTGGACAAAGATAAGATCCTCAAGCATAGGATGGTTCAGCAGGTAACGCTTGCATGCGTCTTCACTTCAAAATGCCTGTTAGAACACGAGTATATGAGTCCTTTTAAGCATTTTAACCATAAATCGTGGCGTTGCAATTTGCCTCGACTGGTATCATTCGTGTGTGGTGCTTGAGTTGTGTTAATGCATATTGCTCGTAAATCAATCCAAAGACGCCAATCTAATGACGGTTTGTTCTGAATCTGGCTCTGCATCTTGGAAAATCGTAAGAACAAGTGAAGAAGCTTCTGGTGCCTAAAAATCTTACATGTTGAACTCTGAAATTTAAAATGTGAATTGCAGATTAAGAGAGAAATATCTACCATGAAGCTTGTGAAGCACCCTTATGTTGTGCAACTTCTTGAGGTCATCATTCTACCCAACTCTTTGCTTTTAAAAATGACGTACAACTCACCTTGTCTGAATTCTTTGTAGTTACCCGGTGATGGGATGTGTAAGATGTCAATGTCGTTTGCGTTGAAACTGCTCCTGAGTGCTCAAGGCTCTCAGTTTGTGGTTGTTAAATAATTCGGAGGAACCTGTTGTGCCAGGTCATGGCTAGCAAAACAAAAATCTACATTGTACTGGAGTATGTGACTGGTGGCGAGCTGTTCGACAAAATTGTAAGTTCTTTGTTGTTTCGACCCATACGTCAGTTGTTCGTTCCTGTTTAGGCTCTTTTTTGCGCTGAGTGTTGACAGGTAACCAGACTCAACTGCCAGCTGATACATGTATGGAATGGTGCCAGGTTCATCAGACGCGGCTCAAAGAGGATGAATCGAGGAAGTATTTTCAGCAGCTAATAGACGCAGTTGATTACTGTCATAGTCGTAACGTGTATCACAGAGATCTCAAGGTGTGATGCGAGCGCCTGAGTTATTCTCGCATGTGTTATTATGATAGTGATACATGATGTGCGGATATCAATTTTGTTGGATGGTGGGATATTGATTGCTTCTTTGTGTTATGTGCTTTTGATACACTTGATGGGACGATATGCTGTTCTTTACCCCCAAAATTTGCTCTTTCTTGGCATTCAACAGCCGGAGAATCTGCTCGTGGATGCTAGTGGCAATTTGAAGATATCAGATTTCGGCTTGAGTGCACTACCCCAACAATGTAGGGTATGGAATATCTACCTGAAAGATCTGTGTTCTCTGCATTGTTTGAAAGTGCCTGTTTGTTGGAAGCTGTACATTGTTGATGAATATTGAATCAACGAAACGCTTCCAACATTAAACCAATCTATAATTCATGTCTGCAGGCTGATGGTTTGTTGCACACAACATGTGGAACGCCAAATTACGTCGCTCCGGAGGTGATCAACGACAAAGGTTATCATGGAGCCACAGCAGACTTATGGTCATGTGGCGTTATCCTTTATGTCCTTATGGCTGGCTATTTACCCTTTGACGAGCCCAATTTGACGACGCTGTATAAGAAGGTATTGAACTTCGAAGTTCGTTATCTTTTTCGTTATGCAGCTATCCAAACGTGCATTATTGAAAATTGCAATACATTTGACGTGAGTTGAATCGGAAATTGGACTTCTGATAGAATTGTCTCTGCTTGTAGATACACCGAGCGGAGTTCACTTGTCCTTCTTGGTTCTCGCCTGGGGCCAGAAGATTGATAATGAAGATTTTGGATCCCAATCCTAGAACTGTAAGTGACAGGTCATGTTGCTTCGAATATCATTCCGCTGCATCTTGTTTTATCCTCCAAATCTGTTTTGGTCCAAAATTTTCTTTTGATGGATTCCGCTGTCTCTATCAAGCACTTCTTTTGTGGCCTAACATGAGTGAAACATTTGTGCAGCGTGTCACAGCTGCGCAAATCTACAAAAACGAGTGGTTCAGGAAGGGATACACTCCTGCCAAGTTTGACAAGGATGCTAGCGTTAATCTCGATGATATTGATGCTGTTTTCAACGAGTCTAATGTAAGATCTCACCCTTATGTTATACTCACATCTGTCTAGTTAAGTTACATTAACCAAACATAAGTTAACAAGTGAAAACCGCTCGTATTCGTCTATTTTTCTTCTAGAACATGGTAAGAAAACGATAGGACTGAAATATACTATTCTATGGTTACTGTGTGAGAGCTCTAGTTTGATGATACATGGTCTAGTTGTAACTAAGTTCGACAAAATTGATTGTATACGTGTTAGGTTTTGAGATGAATCTCTTGTTTCTAGGAACTTACTTTCCATTGCCACTCGGTAACAGGAATACATGGTCACTGAAGAGAGGGATGCTAAGCCGGCTCCAATGAATGCATTTGAGCTTATCTCTCTCTCTCGAGGCCTTAATCTCTCTGGCCTATTTGAAACACGCGACCAGGTACTCAGACATCCGACCTGGATCTATATTTTATTTCATTTCAGAAGGGGATGTGGTTTTCTCGGAGAAACTCAACGTAAGCAGTGGAGGTGCTTCTGAAAACAAAGATGCATTCCACTTCTAGATTGCCTTTGGGAAATTTAGGGTGTCATTTTAAGTCACTTTAAGATGCTGGACCTGATCACTATCGCTGATCACTACTTGCAGGAGCCCGGACCAGAGAAGGAAACAAGATTTACGAGCACAAAACCTGCTAAGGAGATTATTAGCACCATTGAAGAGGCGGCTAAGCCGTTGGGATTCAATGTACAGAAACGGGATTACAAAATGAAACTTCAAGGAGACAAACATGGCAGAAAAGGTCATCTTTCTGTGGCTACCGAGGTCAGTTGGGTTTTGCTGATGAAAAGTTCTTGACACTTTCTTATTATTATTATTATTACAATTATTATTTTACTTGATTTTTATAAACTTTTTAAATAAATTATGTATATATATATATATATATATATATATATATATATTGTCATAGGCCTTGATGTTTGGGGGTTTATGGAGGAGTTATCACCTCATGCAAGCTGTTTGGTTAGATTATGTACTGATATGACATAGTGTTGACTTCAGGTTTTTGAAGTTGCACCGTCTCTCTTCGTGGTGGAATTGCGAAAGAAAGGAGGAGACACGCTGGAATACCACACTGTAAGATCTGTAGAACTTTACTGTTATAATACAATTAGTTCTACAGGCATGTCTTATGGTGAAAGCTCTCAATACATAAATACAAAAAGCTATTAATTTAGGGAATATATGGCCCCTTGTTAAGCTCATCTTGTGAATATGCTCGAGTTCATGCATTCTAATTGTTGCTAATCTGTAAAATTTTCATTGCAGTTTTACAGGGATCTTTCCAAAGGACTTAAGGATATTGTCTGGAAATCGGATGTAGATGGCAAGGTTTCCCCATTGAAGTAACCAAACTAGGACACGTTTCGGCTGTGTACTGCAAACTGGGCTCAACTCTGAAGCCTTCGCAGTTGCTGTGCAGTGAATGACGCTGCGAACTCTTGCTGGAAAAGCAAGACAGACTGCTTTTTGTTCAAGCTCTTGGGTATATAAACAGGTCTGGCTTCGTTAAGGGTTGTTTTGCTTTAGATTCGATACTCTGAACTGGTACAACTACATTTCAAATTTTCGCGTTTAAAATGAGGTAAAATTATAGTTGTAAAATATACCGGCAAGTGCTGGTCTGTATTTGATGCATCGTTCCTGCAAGGAGCTATGGAGGTGATATTGTTAGGAAGTTAAGTCTTTAGCTGTAAATAGATTTTACTAGCTTTAACAGGTTCCTGTAGTTGGTAATAGACTCCACAAAACATCGAGGACTTGGACTATTTTTTAAGCCTTTGTAAAACAACAATTATTCCATCAGTTTTGAGAACTGCCCCATATGTTAGGTCTTGTACTTCATAGTACTAAATGACAATATTTTTAGTTTGCCTGCGCCTGGAGGGACTAATGTACAAAGCTTCTTTTCTATACATCGTCCAAATTTTGTCCTAGCTGTGCAGTGCGTGGAGGAGACATTTGCAAGATCCTTAACCCATCAATCAGGTATTCAATATGGAAGCTTAAATAGGCCTAGTGCTCATAGAACCTTTCGGCAGATTTTCACTTTTGTCACCAATTATGCGTGTATTGAGTACATTGTATAGCTGTGTATATGTTTGAACAAATATCAATTGCAAATGTAAAGTGCAGCTGTGAAGTGTTGCAATAGATCACCTAGGATTCAATTGAGTGTCATTGCTGTCTACCTTAAGTAAGATTGTAGTGAATGGCTTTTTCGTAATCTCTCGGCTTCTGTGGAGTCTCCTGGTATACAGTGGTACGTTTTCCTCATCAACATGAGAAAACTGTTTGAGCTTCTACCAGAGCAAAAAAGCAACAAACTACACAGTTGATGTGTGTTCCATAATGTGGTCACAAGTATAGTCTAGTAAAAAAACCAAGTCAAATTTATATTAAAAATATCATAAATTTTCAATTTTAAAATATCAAACAGTATTAATGTAATAAATGAACAAATAAAAATTATACTCTCTTCTTTATTTTTATTTACATACATATACATAATTTTTTTAGTTTATAATATTAAAACTTTACTTCAATATTTGCATTAAAAGAGTCAAATAAAATGTAAAAAAATTCTGAAGCTATATCCATTAATTGTGAAGAACATTGCTATTTTCATGATAGTAAAGTCAAAATGTATAAATAGACCATCAATTTAACTTTGGGAGGCTAACATTTTTTAAGAAAACTACAAATTAAACAATTAAATAATTGTATTGATTAGTTGATTGAAAAATTGTCTTCAATGTATTTTTAAGGCCACACATACAAACACAAATATATTGAGTATAGTAGGTATAATAAGTATTAATATAAAATATCTATTGATACTTAATATTATAGTTTAAAAATAGCTTCTAAATATACACCAAAAAGAAATAAGATTAATAGATAATACACATAAATAAATATTTTTTTGAAAAAATTCTTATAAAATATTAAAAATAAATTAATATTTTATGATCATTTTCATTGAAAGCAACTTGAAACTATAATCAATCTCTACAAATTACATTAGCTATAACAAATCTATTTTATATATTTAAAATTCTAATCTATTAAGAAAATTTTAAAATTTGAATACTTTCTTTAAATACGAAGCTTAATGGAAGTTGAATGAATTTTGTATCTTAATATTCTAAGACTAATTTAATAGAATTTAGAATAATAAAAAAAATAAATTTTAAATAAATTATACACAAAGTCTAAAATATAAATTAAATTAAGAAATTTAAAATAAAAGAATCTAAAGAAGAAAAGATTGTTTAATTTAAATTGCACAATAGGAGAATGTAATTTATTAAGAGGAAAAAAAAATGTGGTACAAATAAAAATTAGAGCTTTAAATCTTAATTAAAAAGATTTTCAAAAATAATAATTTAAATTTTTTTATAAAGATTTAAAATCAAAACCAAACCATAAATGTGTGTGTATATATATATATATATATATATATATATATATATACATACATATAATCAAAACTAAAATAAAATGATTATAAAATGATTAAAATATGTAATTAAGTCATGAGGTGTTGAATGATAAAGACTTATAATATAATGCAATGAAGTCTAATATTCTATTATCAATATAAAAGTTTTATATTTATTAAGATATATTTAATACAAAATATTAATTTTTTATATAAATTAATAAAATAATATATTATAATAATAATAATTATTATAATATGTATATATATATATATATTAAAATTACATGGTGTATTTTTAAGAATTAGATTTAAATTTTTTTTAATAGCAAAATTTTGTTCAAGATTTAAGTTTTAGTTTTATATATATATATATATATATTTTTCAATAATATAAAAAAAAATGAGATAAATACAACTTAGAGTTCTAAGATTAATGATTCTTGTATTTGAAATGATACAAGATAGAATCTACATTAAACATCTATTTAAACTTATAATTATATAAATTTAAATTATATATATTTTTAATATAAATTATTTTTGGTATTTTTTAATATTATTACTTTTTAATAGTAAAGCTAAAGAAGATGAATACTATATATATATATATATATATATATATTAATATGACCTTTAAAGTACATTAATATATAAAATATATAGAATAAAATATATTAAAATAATACTAGTATGTAATTATAATTTCTTATTAATTAGAGAATAAATATATTTTGATTTTGCATTAAGAAAAAATTCATAAAAGAATAAAAAAATGTGTTATTTTTCTACTTGCATAAACATTTAAAGAAATTTGAAAGTGCTCTAAGATGGTATCATAAGCAATATAAGCTTATTTTCAATTACTTTTGGATAATATTTAAATATCAAGGACATGAATCTTAAAGAATCTCAAAAAAGGCTTCACTCTTGCCTCTATATATATTCTCTAACTAAAAGTTATGTGGTATTAGACTTACGTATTTCTATTTAACTAATAAAATATTGAATTAAACTACAAAAAATATTAAAGTTATAACAATTGAATTTATCTTAAGGTTATATTTTCTAACCATGATAATCCTAAAACAACCAGTATTGTATTTTCATACGACTATATGGTGAAAATATAATCAAAAATAAATTTCTTATTAGAATCTAATTATCTTGGTTCAATGATAATTCAAGTCATTTAAACATGACTTTTATAAAAGCTTCTTAGTTTATTTTCTTGTCTAAAGAGCTAGTAGATTAAAGATTAGTTAGTAATTTAATCTTTTAGTCTATAATTTTTTTTTTTATTACCTTAGAATATCCATAAAATAATAAAAATAAGATAGAAGAGATAAATGATTAATATGGTTGATACTAGGATTAAATTGAAGATAGAATTGGACTAATGGAATCCCTAAGATAGGTTGGATTGATACGTAAGGGTCGTTTGTTTATGGAATAGAATCAAAATCAGACTTCTAGCCACTAAAACCAACACCTAAGATAAAATATAGAAGCATTTAGAAATGATCAATTAAGACTAAAGATCTAACTTTAAGCTTGTTGTAAAGGCATAAAGCTTGTTTTCATAAGATTTGAGATGAATTTGTAATTTTTGTTCAAAATTAAGATTTATATTAGTAACTTTGGATTTATCAAATACAATTAGGGCTAGCACTTTTGGCTAGTTCATGTAATTGGTGTCATATCTATAATTTAAAATTTGATAGTGCTTGGTTGATTAAATGTGCTAATTATGCATAAAATTTTGTATTAATCTAATAGTATATTTGACAGATATTTGATTTTTGGTACAAGAAGGTATCGGAAATTGGCAGTTTGGAGTTAGATAGGATGTCTATGATATCTAAAGATCTACTAGTCAAAATAAAATAAAATTTAGCTTGGTATTAGAGGACTTTAAGATTAAGCTATACACCAATTTTGAACTGAAGTTAATAATTGAAGAAGGAAAAATTACTAATAAAACATTTGCATCAACTTTTGAGTTGGTGGCTGAGTGATATTAGAATGGTTTTTTGGACGTTTTTTTCACAATTTGTAAGTTGGATTGGGCTAATTTTTTTTGAACATGTAAAAGACTTATAATATTATTTGTATATAAATTTTTACAAATAATAGATAGTCAAATTGGAAATTACAGCTTGTTAAAACTCACTAATTAAGATTAGGACTTTCAAAGTGAAATCAAAATTACCTAATTATAAAAGTAATAAGACAATTGAAATTTACGTATGGTTGAGGTTACTAAGAAGAGTATTTTTGAGTACTTTGTATTGATTTTAAGGACTTTTGAATTTAAATTTGAATTGTATTCTTTTTATATGAGTAAAATCTATTAGTATTTTTTTAAATACTTATAAAAGACAACTCCTCCATCTACACTTAGGTAGCCAATGCATTTCCAAATAAGAAAATATATAATATGATATTAAATTAGAAAAAGATCTTATTGCATTAAATTTTAGTAAGTTACTATGATCTTTAGTTGCTACATCTAAAAAAATAGTTTTATAGATAATATTAGTAGAAGACAAAAAATAACCTTCTTTGACTTCTACATGTATGGATTTAGTTTTTTTGAATAATGGTATTTCTTATTTTTTGATAAAGTCTTCTTCTACAAAACAAGCTGAGGTTCTTGAATCTTATAAGATAATGATTTTATGATTTTTAGATCCTAAACACATAGCTATTATAAAATAAGATGAAAGATCTAAGGAGAGAATGTGACCTCTATTAGGTGTTGTATATGATTTTAGTCGCATGGTTTTTATTGTAGCTGGAGAAATTTATTTTTAGATACATTGTCTTTTTTGTCAACCATACTTTTCATTTTGTGATTATGTTATTTTTTTGGATAATATTAAATAATGAGCTTATGTAATGGAATATAAATAAGATATTTATATTGCTGACACATAGGGATAGATAGTTGGTATTAGAAACCATATATAAGAAAAGGATTGAAGACCAAGAAATGAAGTTAGTTTGACATTAGAATAACAATTGAATATAAGGCAAGAAGATCCTAGCTAGATCACAAAAAGTAAGTTTTCGAGAGTGAGGATCTCCTCAGCCTCGACTCTTATATATACTAGGTCCTAGGAAGCTTCTTGAGAAGTTTTCATGAGGCTTAATAACAAAACAAGCCTAAAATCCTTCTTTAGCAACTTTCTAAATCATCTAAAGCTTCTTAGAATCTTTTTAGATCTCTTATGACCTTCTAGAACTTTTTTAGAATCTATTAGAATCTTTCAAAATCTTCAGAAATCTCCTAGAACATTCAAGAATCTTCTTAGAACCTACTGGTATTTTTTAGAATCTTTTGGAATCTTCTAGAACCTTCTTCAGTTATACATCTTTGACATCACCTCCTCCTTTAGCTTCGAGGTCTCCAAAAAGTAATGTTGGAGCAAGCTAGTATATGCGTAAGAAATCAAAGATCTGTCATATGATGTCTACTATATATTTCAG